AAAAAAAAAAAAAAAAAAAAAAAAAACACACACATCTTAGTAAACACCAAATCAGCTTCGCATCGAAGCTAATAATAGTTGACCGAGACCTTGTGAATGTCATAACACGAGGTTTTTCGAAGTTCAGGGTTCAACCTATTTCGGCGGCCTATGGGATAGTTCCGTGAAATCTGTTAAAAAGAATTTAACAAGATCGTTTAGTGAGTCTTCAATATGTTACGAAGAATTATATGCCATTCATATGCAAATTGAGACCTGTTTGAATTCTAGGCCAATAAACCGCTGTCTACTGATCCGTCTGACTTAAATGCATTAACTCCTGTTCATTTTTTAATCACTTTTTTCACTTTTTCTTCTTAAAACTTCTATAACATTATCAAAAATCAACAAATCAACATAATTTTTTTTTTTAATAAGACCTTAAATGTTTTCTTTTCATTTGATATCATTTTTTTGAAAATTTAACACATAACCTGCTCACTGGGGGGGTTTGAAAATGGCAACTTTTTTACAAAAACTAACTTTTTCAACTTAATTTTTGATAATGGTCCGGAAATACTGCGTCCTCAAACATATATCAAATTAAAGCTTATTTTATGTACTATACAATGAAAAAAAAAATTTGTCCCGACACTTCATCTTCTGCATGCAAACGGCTGTCTTAGTTAAAAAAACGCTATTTTTGTGTTAAAATTTTCGATTTTCGATTTTAAATTTTCTACTTAAAAATGCTATAACTTTTTAAAAAATGTGTATATCAGCACAAATTTTTTTTTTCTAAATACATTATAAGTACATCTTTTATTTGACATACTTTTTATTAAAATTGGAAAATTTCCCCTTATATGGGTTTGTTCCAAACTTGNCGCTGTCTACTGATCCGTCTGATTTAAATGCATTAACTCCTGTTCATTTTTTAATCACTTTTTTCACTTTTTCTTCTTAAAACTTCTATAACATTATCAAAAATCAACAAATCAACATAATTTTTTTTTTTAATAAGACCTTAAATGTTTTTATGCTTATTGCTTTTTTTATGTACTATAAAATAAAAAAAAAAAATTGTCCCGACACTGTTTCTTCTACATTTAAATGGCTGCCGTAGTTAAAAAAACACTATTTTTGTGTTAAAATTTTCGATTTTAAATTTTATTGGTAGTAAATTGCCGTCAATAAGACAAGTACTATCGGTTTTTTTTTTTAATATTCGTCATGTTAAACTGAGCATACTTGAAAGCTCTAAACTAACATTAAAAGAGGTCAGTATTTTTTGGCAAAAAGCTCGTATATTTATCAGTGCTGAACAGTATTGCATAAAAAAACTTCAAAAATATTACGATGAATGGAGAAATTTACAAAAACTGGAATACAGAAAATCTGACACTCAAGTAAAAAAAAATGAAGAATTTAGGTTTTGAACTAAATGATTTGTTCGACATTGCTCAAGTTGATGCCCTTAATTTAATGTCATTACAAGAAGATAAAGATTTTTTATTAATGCAAAGACAAAATGGACGTCCTGGTATTATGTTAGGAGTTGATATGAATATTGCACAAAAAGAAAAAAGAGCCAATGAAAGGTTAAAGATGTCCGAAAAAAGACGTAAAAGAAGTTATGACGAGATACAGTCATTGAGTAAGTTTAATGTTGTTTTAGAATTATTATTTAATAATTAAGTATGTATTTTAGATGCGCAAGTAGAAATGTGCTCATCATCAGAATCTGATGTTACTGAAGATGATTTTAACAAGCCTGGATCGTCTAAAATGTACGTTAAACAACCAACTAGAGGTAGTATTGATTTTATTACGTCAAAACTTGCAGCTGCACTCGATAAATGCAAAATTAGTGATAGAGATGCAGTTCATATATTAATTTCAACAGAAGAGGCATTAGGTGGGGACGTTGAAAAATTAATTATAAATCTTTAATTCGAAACTCACGCATACGATTCCGTAAAGAACGCGCTGACAAAATCCGTAATAATTATTTGGTAACTATTAAAGATTCCGTTGTCATCCATTGGGATAGTAAACTTTTACATTCATTAATATTCATGAAAGTCAGTGTATTGCCCTTATAAGATATTTCAAAATAAAATAAAATACAAAACTCAGGATTTTAACACAAAAATAGCATATTTTTGAATACGGTAGCCATTTGCGCATAGAAGATAGGTCGTCGGGAAAAATTTTTTTTTTTCAAATTATAGTACATGACATAAGCTTTAATTTGACATATGTTTAAAGGATGCAGTATTTCTGGAACATTTTTAAAAGTTCAGTTGAAAAAGTTAGTTTTGGTAAAAAAAGTAGTTATTTTAAATCCCCCTGTGAGCAGAATAAGTGCTAGATTTTCAAAAAAAATGTTATCAAATAGAAGGAAATTACCTAAGGTTTCAATATAAAAAAATATTATTTTGATTTGTTAATATTTGAAAAAGTCATAGCAGTTTTAAGTACAAAAAACATCCCGATAGAAGGGGATTTTTATCGCAAACATAACATTTTTTTTTTAATTTTAACAGCCATTTGCACATAGATGATATGGTGTCGGGTCACATTTTTTTTTTTCATTGAATATAAAATGTATAATTTAAGGATGTATGGAATCATCAGGATCGGTTGGCAAGACTACTAATTTATCAACAGGGCGCACAAGTGTACCCTGGTGGGTTTGAACGCGCACTACACGTACAATTTTATCGGGTCCTGCCCTTAATGCCGTTATTCTACCTAAGTGCCACATCAATGGGGGACACGAGTTATCTTTACTAATGACCATGGCGCCTACGAGACCATTTGGTTGATCAGTTAACCATTTAGCTCTTTGTTGTACAGTGAACAAGTATTCCGATGACCAACTATGCCAGAAAGCCTGATGACAGTAGTCCAATAATTTCCAGCGCTCAACTAAAGAACGTGGTGCGTCGAGTTCAGTACTCGGCGGAACAGCAAGTAACGATTGTCCTATAAGAAAGTGCCCTGGCGTGAGGCAATCAAGATCATGCGGATCAGTGGAATTGGGAACCAGAGACCGAGAATTTAGAACGCTCTCTATTCGATAATTGACGGTGGTGAATTCTTCATATGTAAACATATTACGCGTATTAATAATTGCTTTGATGAGCGAACGGCGGACTCCCATAATCCGGCCATGTGCGCACTCGAAGGCGCATTGAAATGCCATTCACACATGGGCGTCGCTGCCGCTATTTTAATTTGAGACGCTGCGCTATTAATAAGGTCACGTAGCTGTTTATCAGCCCCGATAAAATTTGATCCGCAATCTGAAAAAACTTGGGCTGGTAGGCCCCTACGAGCGACGAACCGATCGAAGGCGGCTAAAAAAGCTTCAGTAGACAATTCCGTCACGACTTCTAGATGTACCGGCTTTAACGGTGAAACAAACAAAAATAGCTAAATATACCTAATAAGTATGCGATTTTCTCAGCCTTATTTCGCGCATTTGAATGGCGTAATCGATACCGACGCGCCTAAATACCTGACATTCTGTAACACGCGTAGACGGTAAGTCAGCCATCCGGGGTTATGGATTTACAGCTGTATTACGTTGAGCATCGACTAATAACTTTATGTATGACTGCCCGTCCCCACTGAAAATCCAAAATCGCCGCGTAGCTAGCATAAGCATAACCCGTGGGCCTGCATGACAGCTATATTCATGATACCACCTAAATATAAGTAAGACCAAATGAGACCGTTTAGCTAAAAGTATCGGATGTTTTTGCTCGTAAGATAACGACGAATGGCACAAACGTGCCATAGGTGTAGAAGATGTACAGAGTCCAGCTACAAGTTCATTTTTTAACGCGGCAAAAAAACATTGTTACGAATCAATCACTATTGCTCGTAACGACGCGTCGATTTCCTCTTGAGTAATCGCGAGCGCAGGAGATGCATTGTGGCGGCGACATTTATGTGCAAAACGCTTCATAAACGATATTACTCGTAACATCCGATTATATGAGGAAAAACGAGTTGACCATTCGTTTGTAGGGTCCTTGGCGCGGACAGTTAATGAAATAATGCGGACTTCAGATGAATCGGATACATCCAATAACGAAGGTCGCGACGGCCACGTATCTGGCGCTTCTAAAATAAATGGAGGGCCATGCCAGTACAACGTATAATTACATAATTTAGAGGGCAATACTTCGCGCGATACGCAGTCGGCCGGGTTGACGGTTGTTTTTACATAAGACCATGAGCACTCAGGTATCAAACATTGCACCTGATGTACTCTATTTGACACATATGTCTTAAAAGTATCACGTGGTACACTTAGCCACGATAATATCACGAGTGAATCGGTCATTTGGGTTCATTTGTAACTCAATCGTTTTGCCGTTTCTTCGGCGATTTAAATCCACGTCTGTTATTTAAATATATACTCCTCACTGCACACACACGACATCCCAACCTAATCATTAATTGTTTTAAAACACATATGCAGTATATTTTGATGAATCAGATTGTGAATGCTGGTTAAATATTCATCAGGTGGACCTGGTATTACATTTATTTTTTACAAATACTGCTCATCTCTAAAACGGATCTGAGTGGTGTTCAAACGAATAATCTTACTCTTAGAGTAGTTTTTCATATTTAAATCATCTATTCATTTTTATTCGATCATTTTGCCACGTGAAAACTAGAAAATTTATTGTATTTCCATGTTTTTAGTGAAATTTATGTGTTAATTATTTTGCATTATAAAAACAATGAAAACACGAATGATTAGTACACACTTCATACCNTGAAAACACGAATGATTAGTTCACACTTCATACGTTGTTTATAAAAAATGATTTTATGGAACCACTATTTTATTATTATTCTATTTGTATGCAATCATATAATGATTTAATTACGTGACTGTGTTATATTCTATTTAAATATCATCAGAAATATTAACGTTCACGTTGTTGTCATTCGAAACTACCAAATTTTTTCTATAAAACACTTCTAAATGCATTTTTTATAACATAAGTAATTTTTATTAGAACAAACTAAATAAAATAAAATAAAAACTTTTTAAGCAATAATTAACAAATGAAAATGAAAAATATAATTTATATAAATTTAATATTTTGTCCAACGTTTGAATTCTCGATGCCATTGATAATTTTTTACTTGTCTTGTCAAGCTCAAATTACCGCTAAAAAAAATTCAATAAAGTTCATTATTCATAATCAATAACTATTGTCAAAAAAAAAAATTAATTCTAAGTTAAAACTATATTTTTATGAAATACCTTACACCCTAACAATTATAATTTTTTATTATTTTATGTATATATAATTTATTAAAACATACTTAAACTCTTTAACGACAGCATATTCATTAAACCGAACAGACTTTTTTTGATTAGAATCATAAAATCTGTTATTGTTTATATTATCTGATGAATTGATTTTACAGTCTGCAGTATTTTTTTTCAAAACTCCTCTCTACAAAAAATCAATTTAATACATAATGAGCAATACATATATAAAATAAAATAATTTATAATGAAATGAAAAAAAAAATGTTATCTAATTAAAAGTATTTTATTCGTTGAAAAAGCTTACTTTGTTGACTGTATTGTAATAAACAGCAGAAGGAATATATTGAACTTTAGATTTGGCATTTTTATAAAATAATTTTTTGGATTTACGGTTAAACAGAAGTGTTCCGCTCTCAGTGTATTTCATATCAGTTTTGCTATGATGAATGTCATTAGAAACATTATTTTCTTTGTAATTGCTTGCAGTTACATCATTTAAATTAGTTTCATGACATTCCGNTATCCTCAGTATTTTCTATTGTAGGTTCTTTACCTACATCATCTATTACACCTTTAGTTTCGACGTCATTTATGAATGTAGTTGCTATTAAAACAGGAAGACACACGGTTAGCCTTTTCTCGTCAGTATCAAATACACCAGTAGCATTATCTACTGAAGCGAAGCTCGGTATATTAATATTTAGTTTATAACATGCAGAACTTGTAGAAACTAACTTCAAAACATTTTTTAAAATTGTTAAGTCAATGTTTTTAGAATCTTCTAGTAATGGTAAATCAATTTCAATTATAATCTCATTCAAATTCAAAGTTGGCATCGAGTTAAGCAGTTCATCATCGTTTACATCAAGAATATTAGCTCCTGAACGATATTTGATTGTATACGACGGTGAAATAAATGAAGATGTTGCTTCGAGATCAGCCAAATCAAGTGTTTGTGTGGAACTATCTTGAAGATCAGAAATAAAAGAGCTAACGTTATTTAATGGTTCAATTTTAATCGGCTCAACCACACCGAATACACTCTTTTTAGAGTATTTAACGAAGTCTCTATCTAAAACAATATTATAACTATTCTCGATAGATTTTAGAGCTGCATCTTTGACAAAATCTTTAAATTCATTACTCAGGGCAGTTGAATGAACAAAGTCGGTGTGAAAAACTACGTCAATAATGCAATTTAGATTATTTTTCGAATCACTTGAATAACGTCTTGGAGAAATGCAATTTGGAATACACCAACCGTTTTTATTAATATCAGAGGAGCATGATGCTTTTCCAATTTCATTATTATAACAAATGTTTATAAAAACTCTTAAATTGGATTTTGCATTAATGTCGTTCACGCGAGTTTTTATGACAAATACTGGAATTGGTTGTACGAGTAATTGAGCACAGTCTTGATCCATTTCTTGATTTATGACGTCCCTTTCACAACCAAGTCCATTCTTCTTTTTGTTTGAAATATCACAAGTCTCACTATCATCGGGTTTTATTTGTTTTGATCGTTCTAAATTAATAGACATGAAAGAAAAAATGTTACCCATTGTAGCGACTTTATTATAAGAATTCACAATTTGTTACTAAAATGTTAAGCTTAGGAAGCGAAGTGACAAATTTTGAAATANCTAAAATGTTGAGCTTAGGAAGCGGAGTGACAAATTTTGAAATAAAAACATATACGTGAGTTGTTTAAAAGTTGATTTTGTTTCTACGGATATGTCAGAACAATTAACAGTTTTTTTTTAAGCTAACTATAAAATATATTTTTATTGCATAATTATTAACGTGTTACTAAGTATTAGTTTTGGAGAAATTTATTACAACGATTATAAGCTGAAATATTAAAAAGTTTCTAGAAATATCAGCGCTGTTCTTTTATTTTTATGATTTTAGCTAATGAGTCTAACTAAGTATAATTATTATTATTATTTTATTTATTTTGGATCTTAAAAATAAATAGATAAATGAATGATAATAATATTATTACGATATAAATTTTGTAACAATTAATGATTGTTCATAGATTTTTATAATGGTAAACAAGTAAATGTATTCGTATATTATCCTATAAAAATAAGTTTTTAAAAAAGAAATTATATTTAAGCTTTTTTTAAGTGACGGCCGGCTAGCAGTATATTTAAAAAAAAATTGCGAATTTTTTGACATGTGAGGTGTTAATTAGAAGTACCCAAATAAGCTGTATTCTTAATTGAATGAACTGTATAACTAATTTAGTGCATAGTTAATGAATGTTTATCAGTAGGCATACCTAATTTTGGCGGAAGATAAGTAATAGTAGTGGAAACCATTATAAAAAGTGAATTGATTGTATTCAGTTTGACGTATTAAATTATATTGTTAGTTTAATCAAAATTCTTAACTATGAATATAATATACTAGGTGTCTCAGTACTCACTAAAAATGATTAACATTTGATAAAATTATCATTTTGTTGACTTTTTTAAATAATTATAGTCTGTTTAGACTATGTTCAAGGCATCTTTTTTTTTTTATTAATAATAAAAAATATGCATTAAATGTGTTGAAAGGTGACAATAATTATTAAAACAAATTTTTTTTAACAAAATAATAAACATATAGAATTTTTATTTATCTAAATCCTAAGAAAATTCTTGACATTTAATAAATAATAACGAATTTTAAAAATAAGAAAAATTGATGTTAAATTATGTAAATTTACTTTGAATGACTCAATGCTACTCTTAATTATTTCAGGTAGCCAATCTATTTAATGATTGATAATGTCATTTGTAACCTTACCGATGATTTATAAAAAAAATTATATTGCACTTAAGTCATCCAGGATTTACATTCTATTTAACAGAATTTAAGACAAAATTTTACCAATATTATCATATTTTTTCTCTAAGTGCATACTACAATGACAACATGGATTAAAGTTTATATATATTAAAGAATAAAAATTAACTATAAGCTAGGCTATGGTATTATTTTTTATTTTTTCACGTTATTCTAATTGTCTCAATTTTTTAATAAGTAAATATTTTTTTTTAAATACTCAGTAATTTAGGTCTGTTAAATAAATAAGCGGAAATTTAATTAATTTAATTATTTTAAATAAGTTATTGATAAATATTTGTTTTGACAATTAAATTAAATAGATTTTAATTTGAGATAAAAATAAATAAAGTTGAGATTACTAATAAAATTATTTTTAATCATAAATTTTGGCCTAAATTCAAAAAAGTTCTATACATTCCGATGTCCGTCCGATTATAATTATTTACACTCCATCAGAGATTAAAAATTTTCTTGATGATTTATTTGAAAGCAATAACAGCTGTTTTCATATATACTATCTGGTAAAATTATCAAAAGGATATTAATAGATTTTTCTAGATTGTGAACGGGAAGAAAAAAAACTGACTTGCGTTGAAATACAGTCTAAATGTTTTGCAGTAAAAACGAACTAGATTTAATACTATTATACCAAGAGGGTGAGCACATTGAATATTTGAACGAGTGCGCTTGTGTCTACGAGTCAATGTTTCAGGGATTATCTGGGTTGTAATAATTAGATCAAATAACTTACTTCGGTACAGTACATTAAAAGACAGTTTGGTGACGAGTGCCTAAAGGAATTAAATAAATCTCTGTGTGTCACCCTTTATTATCAACCTATAATCCACTCAGAGTTCTAACCCTATCTATGTGCTTTTCAAATTCCAGATGGTTCATGTTTTCCTCGCTGCTAAGTACTTAAATGTAACGCTACTTATATCATAATAAAAACAAACGCTCGACACATATTACCACTGAAAATCTGGTTAAAGAATATTTCTTTCAAACTACGAAAATTACGAGATTTTATCATATAATTTACATTTAATACTGTAGATCATCAACATTTTAGCCCTTACGTACAAAAATTTAATACTTTAATTATAAACCCTAAATACCCTTTGTTGTTTTTTTAGCTGCCCAGTTGATTTTTAAAATAACCCACTATAAACATGAAACATAGAAGTATAAATTACAATAAAATAATACACTGCATTAGGAACAACAATAAAGTAACGGACACGTGTAAAAAGTTTTTAATGATTTAACTAAAGATAGCACACATTGTGCGCTGGATTGACAGGGTTAACGTAAAAAGTTATAGATTCCTGTTGTAACGAAACAATTTCCGTGTTCGATCTGATTAACTGAAAAATACATTTTGCGAAAAAAACGACAGAAAATTACACTTTTAACTAACACAAACAAATCAGCATTTTGTGTGTATATTGTAACGGAACGCGAAATTCGTCAAAATCGGTTGTGCGCACATTGTTGTCATAAATATAATGTCGAAAAGGAACGTATCTGTTGACGTACAAATCAGCCGTCGACATGGCCAAAGGTCACACGAGCCAAAACAGCACAAGTCGTAGGTGCCGTTTTCCATTTGTGACGTTTACGAGAGCTGCTGTTTAGGTACTCGTCGTTTTGGGTCGTTTCGGGCGCCCCAGTTTTTGCAACAGCACATCTCCTCATGCGGGACCGTCGAACCCAACCGTTAGGTCTCTGCAGAGTTTCTGGTGAACCGTAACGCGTCGCTCTCTATGGTCTATGAGACTACCGGCTATCTGCTCCTGAGCGCGTACGGGTCTTCTCCGCTATGAGTGTGTACACAATGCACGTCAAAAAATTTACCAGTTTGCCCTATTGTATCCGGTCGTCCGCAGAGTCATCCGACTGAGAGTTATCTTTATTGGCTACCCTCGTCCGATGTCAATCATCCGGTTTTTGTGAATACCTAATGTCATCGACCGAGAGACAACTGACGCGGTGCGATGGGTCGTGTGCGAAATAATCGAATATATTAACACATAACGTCATTTTGTGCCCCGAGAATTTATGTGAAAGCTCAATTCCAGTTAATAGATTTAGTGACACCGAATGACTTCAGCCGTTGTTAGTTTATGAAACATTGGCAACAGTAAAAAAGGTCCACCGAACGATGAAATTTTCCCGATCATCATGCAACTGATAATTTATTTTCTATTACGGATCAATAATATTTCTTTAAGTATAAAAGTGAAAAAAATGACAAAATTTACCGATTTTTAAATTTGTAATTTTTTTGGAGATTTCCCCTATTTGCGAGGAACGAGGGCAAATTTTTCAATTTTGAAGACTAATGCCTTCAACTAGATATGATTTGTGATCTTTTGACGTATTGTTGAAAGAAATCGGTCCAATGATAGCTAAGAAAATAAATGAGAACCACAAAAAAACAAAACGGTAGCACAGTGGGGTCGAGGCACAGTATAGACGTGGCATAGATGAGATAAGTATAGATGATATCTGACAGTGATTAAAATCACTATCATAAGAAACGCTTCGATGCAAATCTGTAGATAGTGTTTCATTTAGAGAAATTGGTGGATTATTCCAAAAGCAACATGAACTCTTATTTCTTTAATTATATCCTGATTAGTAGTTCTTTGATTTTAAAATATAATATATGAATAAATACTAATTATAGTTTTTAAATTTAGTATGAAATTGTGAGGCCAGCTATGATGTATGGTTAATAGTGTTGGGCGGTTGATAAGAAAGTAGAGCAGAGAATAAGTGTAGCAGAGATGAGAATGCTTAGTTGGATGAGTGGAGTGACTAGAGAAGATAGGATAAGGAACGAGCATATAAGAGGAAGTATAGGTGTTGCGTCAATCGTGGATAAGATGACAGAAAATAGACTTAGATTGTTTAGTCATG